TTTGGAGCACATATTTGGTCAGGATATTAAAGGTGGGGTAGGTAAGAATGGAGAAACCAGCTCGAGTGCGCTAGAATTTGAAAATACACAGCCGGAAGAAATCTGCCACTTCCTTACAGAGCCCCTCCTCCAACACTCACGAACGCGCACATGACCAATGAGGGCACGAGATAAGTTTGTGCACAGATGGAAGGCTGACAGGCAGGTAGGCCATCCAGTTATTTTAGCCGGGCCGGCTCAGATGATTGGTCGAGCTTTTTACAGCGCTACGGCTTCCACAGAAGACATTTTTTTTATGGATTTTTTGTCAAAGCAGTTCAGATATTCATTGCTATCGGGATGTTAAGAGCATTCCATGGAATATAACAAAGAGTGTATCTCGAGCCGGTTTCTCAAACGTACCTACCCCACCTTTAAGAGATATGAAACTTTAGCTGTGACGCCATTAAAAGGAAAGACCCTATTCATAAGATGGTTCTGGCAGGTATACAGTCCGTATCACATAACGTGTTGGGGCAGAGACGGACCTTGAAGAAGCAGCAGAAGTCGTGCAGCGAGCTCTTCGGCCCCAAGATGCCCCAGGCCAGCACCGGGCTGATCTGCTCACACACGGCGTAGAAGTGAGCGATGAAGCCGTCGGAAACCTGAGACACAGAGAGAGGAGGCGGTCATTAAAAACATGAAATAGATTAGATAGGATTTACTGTAGGAATTCTTAACCAGCCCTGAAATAAAAGCTGTCAGAAAGAAAAGAGGGGGATTCATATACAAATGTTTGAAGATGTTGGACTTTTACCTTCATGTGCTGTCTCTTCTGCTTCATCACTGACCAGCAGCTGGATGCCACCGCCTGAGAAAATACAGAACGGTTTAATCATCCATGGAAAGCCCCAACAGGAAAACATTAGAAGCAAAAATCATTTCATTCAAACAAGGAAACACAGAAATATTATATTTGTCACTTTTAAAGTATGTAACTACAGTGTTATTGTTCAGAAATCCTTGAATTGTTAATTATAATGTAGTATTTTCAAAGTTTTGAGTGTGTGTAATTTAATTATAAAGTGCTTGTAATTGTCCCCCTTCTAAAGAAAACTGTCCATAAATGTATGTTTTGCTTGTTTATAGCACAATGTATTTGATTGAATGTAATAATGAAGTCAAATGATCAGTTGACTGCTTATAAAGTGTGTTCTGTATATAAATAGGTAACTAACAACAGCTGTAGGGTAACGGGAAAGCTTGAAAAGTGCTTGAATTTCACCCATTTTCCAAATTCAAGCACTCCCTTGCTGGGCACTTGTGTGTTTCCTCACCGTCTCCTTGAAGGAGCTGTTGAGCCAGCGGTTGTTGATCACGTTCTGGATGGAGACGGGAGGATTCTCCAGATCCTCGAAGGAGTCCATCAGGATGAAGTCCAGCACGATGTCGTAGAAGTTCAAGTGCTTCACCTGGTCAGGGAGAGGAGGGAGTGTTACACTTTCTTGGTAGCTTGTTGAATTCTGACAGCGGACAGTCAGACGACATGGATATATATATAATATGTATGAGAAGAAGCAGCGTCGTACCCCTCGAGTGGCGAGCTCCACCTCCGTGTTCTCCCAGTGCTCCGTGTGCTCCACGAAGGAAATCATCTCCTCGAACACTTCCTCAAACCTCTTTGGGCTCTGGAAGTAAATAAACATTTAGGAAGGGAAGCACTCTCACCAAGTCTTAAGAGTTCACACGATCTGTCTTCAGGCTCACCTTCTGTGCTTTAACAATAATTGAAGACAGAATTTTCTTTCCCGTGTCAGCCAGAAACATCCGGGTGGTTCTGTCACACAGGATGAGCTGGAGAAAAGACGACATTTTACTCAAACAATGTACAATTCAAATTCAACCCCTAATGGCAGTACATGTGTGAGTCAAACCCTTCCTATCTTGTGTAATAATGTTTTTAGTAATGTAGCACAATCCAAAGCATTCAATTTGAACACTAATACACATTTAGATGATTACATGAGTTAACCTCCATCATGATATGTTTGAATGAACTAGGTTATTCTGTACCTGACAGGCCTGCCGCACACAGTGCAACTTGGCGAGGAAGTCGATGTCTCCGTGACACCCGAGCATCTCAGTCCTGGCGAAGAATACCAAGAAAAACATTAGATCAAATGTTGGCAGACAAAGCAGTGAATTCCTCACAGTATGTTTCAGGAAGGTACATATTTATACATGAATACTAAATCAGTGTAAGTACCGCAGCACTCTGCAGGAGATCTTTCCGTCCTCGGCCATCTGCAGCGCCTCCTCGTAGAAAAGGTGAGGAACCAGAGCGAGGACGCTGCGCAGCTCTCGGTGCTCCGCCAGCTGAAAGAATGGGATTGTGGAGTTAATAATGATCATTTTTAGGGATGTCCCGATCACCTTTTTTTGCTCCCGATCCGATTCCGATCATTTGATTTTGACAATTTGCCGATACCGATTTTTCCCGATCC